AGGTCCTCTCTATTGTTGTGTCAGGGGGTCCTTCCACCTGACTTTCACTTAGGGCTTAGGGTTTAGTTGTCCCCAGTGCTTCTGAAATCTGGATTCAGTTGCCCCTTTTGAAAAATTTAAAATGTTAATGGTAAACAAAGCTATCTGTAACTGTATATGGGGGCTAATTCCCCTTTTTTGTTTTATTGACTATCAGAATACAAATTAAAGGGTTTTTGAATGTAGAGAAAGCAAACTTCTTGCAGTCATCTGGATGCAGAAGGATAGAAAAAAAAACATCTTTAATATCAATCACAACCAAAGTATATTCTGAAGGTATAGCAGGAGTCCAGGGCATGCCTCTTAGGGGCGTTCCTACTAGCTCCATCCTTTCATTTACCTTATGTAGGTCTTGGAGCATATGCCAAGCCCCGGAGACATTTTGAATAACAAATACGGGTGTGTTCCAAGGACTTATAGAAGGGCAAATATGCCCGAGGTTTATCTGTTCCTCCACCAGAAGGTGGAGGGCTTCAAGTTTAGGTTTGGTCAATGGCCACTGCTCCACCCAGATAGGGATTCCTGGCTTCCACCTAATGGGAAGTACTTGGGGGGCAGTGGCCTTTAGGATTGGGGGTGTACCCGAGCGGGTCCCCTATGTTCTTCTCTGTAATTATGAAAGTTAAAAAAATCGCTTTCCTTAACTCCCTCTAGATCCTGTTTAAGCCTTTGTGCTTCTTCCCCATCCAGGATATCATCATATGATGCTCGATGGTCTGTAGTGACCACAGCATCCATTTGTCTTAGCATATCTTGCCCTAGTAAATTGGCATTGAGGGAGTGTTGGGGGAGAGCTACTTTCCAGACGCTGTTCTCTGAGATGGGGTGAAGATGTTTTTGGGTGTATACATAATTTCACGGTGTTTTGGACCATCTAAGATCAGTGGCAGCAGGATGTGGATTTTCACTCCTAGTAATCCACTTTGCACTAGAGATGAGTGAAAAGTCACACCAACTGTGTCTCTGGTGTCTCCAACCTGTGCTCAAATGGGCTTTCTTAAGCAAGCTGCCTGAATTTTTCCTCTCTGGCCAAAATCTCTGTATAGGGTTTGAAAGTATTCCTTTTGGATTTCTTGGATGTTCAGGATATAGCCAATAGCAAAGCAAGATAAAAATCAATGAGGCACTAGGATGCAGGCAATGAGAAAGGACACAGGCAGTGACAAATCAGGATACAGTCCATGAGGAAGCTGAATGCAGCCACTGACAGGTTAGGATGTAGCCAATGATGAAGGATGAAGCCAATGACATAGCAGGATGGAATCAATCATAAAGCAGGATGAAGCCAATGACCAAGCAGCATATAGACAATTGCACATATTCTTAGGTCCTCCAAATTCCATGACTCCTCTCTGTGAACAAGGAGCATGGCAAAGGCACTCAAGGGAGAAGATCAGTGTACCCACTTCCAAAAACAATGTGAAACTCTAGGACAGTGCTGTGTAGAGAGTATGCCCATGCATGTCCAACTGTCACCACCACACTTTCTGGAAAGATGTCCTGAGCAAGAGTGTCTTATCTGTCTACTCCACAGGCCACTGCACATTGGTTAGTTCTTTTATTATTTTCTTTATCTTTGATTGGAGACCTTTACTGAAACAGGACATGTCACATTCTGCTCATTGGCTGATGCTCCATAAGCCCCCATTCCTACCACTGGACATCGGACATGCTTTGAGGTCTATTTACTATTATTTTTACTCTTTGTAATTCTTTATGTTCCAGTAGTTCCTTTCTTCATAAGTTTGAATCCTAAACTCTATTTGTGGATTTTCCCATCTACTCTTGGTATGTATTGAGCTAATTTGCATCAACTTGACCATCATGTATGATTGGTTTCTAGCAATATACACAATGGAATTCTATGCCTCCATCAGAAAGAATGACATTGCCCCATTTGTTAGGAAATGGAAAGACTTGGAAAAAATTATATTAAGTGAAGTTAGCCAAGTCCAAAAAACATAGGTCCCATGGTTTCCCTTATTTGCAATATCTAGTATATGTATGAGTCAAGCAGAAAAGGTCAGAAAATGTGATGTTAGGAAAATGAACCCTTAGATATGTATTTAAATGTATTTTTCTTTCATGCATTTGTTTCTAACTCATTTATAAGATTATTTCTTTGTTGCTTTGTATGTCCCTCCCCCACTGTATAAACCCTGTTTTCACTATATTTGATGTCGGTATAATATGTGGAGGAAATGTGGAAAAACAAGTCGTTTAAGGATATAGGTGGACCCGTTGCAACTATGAGAAGTACAAGTTGTCATGTTGAAAACAAACTTTACAACTTTGGTGCAGGGGGGAGTTGGGGTGGGGGGGGGAGGCTGGGAAGGGATGTGAAGGGTAAACAAAAGAGGAGGCTGCAATGCTTAATAAGAAATGTACTCATTATCTCTCCCATTTAATTGAAACCCCTCTGTACAGTGTGTTCACAAAAAATAAAAATTAAAAAAAAAGAAATGAATATTGCAGTAGGATAAAACACTGGGGCAATGGAACAGGAAACTAACATTCAAAAGAGGCTTCATATCATCCATTTCCCCTATGCAGTGATCACAGGAGTAGAAGTGAGGAAAATACAGGAGCACTTCAATAGACCCAGGAACTCCACTATGCAAAAGATTCAGTATAAGTACATGATGAATGTTTTTATCATGGAGAAATTTTAAAGTAACCATTACCATGTTCAAAATGTATCTATGATGTGCAGAGCATCATATCTGGCGGTACTGAAACTTTTCCATTGAGGTTGGATGAGCAAAATCATCTGCTGTCTGGACAGTTTATCAAATATGACAATTATGGATGAACCAATGCAGCAGTGGTACGCAGTAGACACTATGTGGATAGGAACCATACAACTTATATGTGGTGTAGGATGAGAAAACTGGGAAAGACAAGGGGTGATGTTGTACTCAAAGAAATATATTGAAGGAAGTGAAGTGGTGCTGTGGAAAAACTGGTAGAGTGCCACCCTTGAGCCCCACATCTCAGGTACAGAACCTAGGCCCTGAAACCTCACAAGTGACAAAGAAAAACTACACATGGCCTAACTTATGCAATGGTAATCCCCTCTACATCACCTCTATCACAACAATGAAGATTATAATGGCAATTAAAATGACAGGGAAGACTGCAACACTAACTTCTGTCATTTCAAAAAACTGATAAGATATAAGATATGGAACCAACCCAGATGTCCCTCAGTAGAAGAATGGATCAAGAAAATGTGGTATCTATACACAATGGAATTCTATGCCTCCATCAGAAAGACTGGCATTGCTCCATTTGTTAGGAAATGGAAAGACTTGGAAAAAAT